TTGTACAGCAATTAACCACTAAGAAGAATATATGCAGTGTATTATTTGTTGAAACTGACTCATTGCTGTTTATCAATAAAACTTTGAAAAAAAAAATAAGGTAGAAGGCAGGGAGAAAAGGACTATTGGCTTGCTCCAAGAAACTGATAGTCCCGAGCTGATGAAAAATCTGTAATTTAGCAAAGGTGAAACATGCAAATAAATAAAGGAAGCTTTGGGAGTGGAGACAGAATAAAGGTAACTGAATTTAGGAAAGCAGGTAGAGGTAGGTCATAAAGGATCTAATGGATGCTAAGGAGTTTGGAGTTTGCCTTCTTACATACTTCTTTCCAGGATCAGAAGTCCCTCATACAATTTCATGAAGGCTCTAATAAAATTGTCAGAAGTAATCTACACACTCTTAAGAGGTTCCTATTTTAGGAAAGGGCTTCTTTAATGAAATATAATCCACATATCATAAAATTCACCATTTAAAAAAGTATATTTTCCTTGGATTTTAGTATATTCAGTTATGCAATTGATTATCACTATCTAATTTCAGAACATTTTTATCAACCCACAAAAAAACTTGATACCCATTGAAAGTCTTACCCCTACTGTTTCCTAGAATTAATTTACTTTCTATCTCTAGATTTGCCAATTTTGAGCATAACACATAAATGGAATCATGTAATATACAGTGTCTTTTGTGTCTGATTTCTTTCACTTAGCATGTTTTCTCAGAGGCTCATCTATGTTATCACATGTACCAACACTTCATTGCTTTTTTTTTTTTTTTTTTTTTTTTGCAGTACTAGGGATTGAACTAAGAACCTTGTGCTTGCCAGGCAAGCACTTATTCTACTGAGCACACTTCATTGGTTTTTAATGCCAAAAAATATTCTACCATTTTTGTTTATTCATTGATTACTGAATGGACATTTGGGTTGTTTTTACCTTTTGGTTACTGTAGATAATCCTGCTATAAACACTATCAACAAGTTTTTATATGAACATGTTTTTATTTCTCTTACATACACACGTAAGAGTATGATGGAGCAAAAGAAAATCCTGTGCTTATCATTTGATGAACTGCTTAACTCTCTTCCCTTAGAAGTCTATAAAGTATAGGAGGGTTCAAGAGATTCTCAAAAGTCCTCATGCACAAATGGAATGATCAATCTGCTCTGAATCTAGAGGAATACAGGTCAGAGAAAACAGACGTAGATATAAATTCAATTAATTCTACACAGTGTAACATTTAACACAGTGAGTTTAAAATGCACCTCCAGTAAAAAGGCTGACAAACAAAAGGACTTTTAAAAAAGTCACACTCACCTGAGTGGACCTACGAGTCTGTCTAGCTTGTCTGGAGCGTGCTTTCCGTAAAGACTCAGCTTCCTCATCCCGTACAGGGGTCAGATAGGACCTACAGAGAAAACAAAGTAATATTAAGAGTAAGACCTATGCTGCACACACTTGCAGAATGAGAAGCTACTTTCCTATACTGAAGGGATTTCTTAACTTTAAGAATAAACAGAGGCAAAGTCAAAATGAGAGGAATGCTATCTGCCATCCATATAAATTACAGAAATCAGGACATTATTCATGTAGATTCATGTTATCTGTAAAATGGAAATTTCAGTACTTTCCCTAACTTTACATTTTTCATTTTATTTCTTGTCTTAATGCTTTGACTAAAAACTCTAGGACAAGTTGAAAGGCAGCAGTGATAATTAACTCTCTAGGCTGTTCCTGAATCCAGAAAGAATACTTTCAGCATTATGCTATTAAGTATGACATTTGCTATAAGATTGCCTCAGCAAATTGAAGTAATTCGCTTTCATTGTAGTCAGGCCTTACAAGGGAAAAGATTTAACACAGGACACATAATTTATAGGATTACTTTATAATATTCATCCAAACAGTCAAATGCAAAAGAATGCAGAAGATCTATCCACACACTAGAGACCCAAAGAATCCAGTGAAGGCCTGAACCCTATGGCAATGTACAGCATGAGTTCAGCTGAAGACCTAGAACCCATGGCAATATCCCCATGTGTTCAGCTGGAGACCTAGATCCCACAACAATCTCTTGTGCAAGTTTGTATCAAGGATATGCACTAGGAAGGCCCATAGGTCAGTGGTAGAAGCTAGAAAGTTTGCGCCAGAGGGGTGAAGGATCTGTGCCAGCAGACTGAAGAATCTGCACTGGAGCCAGGAAACAACATTCAAAGTAAAGATCAGAGCTGCCCCCAAAAGAACCACAGCCATTCTCAGCAAAAATGAGATCCTGAACTGCTCTGATGATGATAACTGAGTTCATACCAGGAAAGCCAGTGGGACAAGCTTCTCCAGGAGAACCAACAGCATACCTTCTTCCCCTCTGGAGCCAGGAAACATGCTGAAAGTAAGGACCAGAGCTCCCCCAAAGAACTGCAGCCATCTTCAGTGACAGGGAGGACTTGAGCTCCTCTGAGGAGGAGGGTCGAGGCCTTACCTGGATTCTTTGGGTCTCTAGTGTGTGGATAGATCTTCCACATTCTTTTGCATTTGACTGTTTGGATGAATATTATAAAGTAATCCTATAAATTATGTGTCCTGTGTTAAATCTTTTCCCTTGTAAGGCCTGACTACAATGAAAGCGAATTACTTCAATTTGCTGAGTGAAACCTAGGAAATCTTATAGCAGATATCATGTTTAGGATAACTGCTAAATTTGTGTCAGGAAAATCAGAGGGAAAAGCTTCTTCAGGACAAGGAAAAGCACACTATCTTCCCCTCCAGTTTTCTTTTTATGCTGTTGGCAAAAAACGTCAGGGGGCCTTCCACTTCCAGCACCACCCTGATACAGTTCAGCTAGGTATTACAAGTTGGCCAACAGTTGTCAATCCACCACAACTTCCATTCCTATATAGGAAGCAGGCTAAGAGGATTTTGTTGTTGTTCTTTGTCTTTTAATCATAGTGTATATTCAACTGTTATCTCATGCTTTTTTGTCCATATCGATTATCATTTTTTCCTGTTAATGAGTCATAATAATTTTTTATTAAAAACCTTTATTATATATATATTTTTTCAAGACATGTAGTAACTTTACATGTTCATGTGTACAATGTGGCATTTCAATAGAAGTATAAAATGTACAATAAGCAGATCCAAGTATATATATCTATCATGTCAGATACGTTTCTTTGTGTGGGGAACATTCAAAAGCCTATATACTAGCTATTCTAAAACACTGGACAAGTTTTGAATGATAAAATAACAATGAAATCTGAGGATAAGTTCAACTTGATCAAGATTCTCTTTTTTTTTTTTTTTTCTTTCTTTATTTTTTTTTTGGTTGTGCTGGGCCTCTAACCTAGGGCCCTACAAATGTTAGGCAAGCGTTCTACCACTTAGCTATACCCTCAATCAAGATGCAGCATTTTAAAATGTAAACATACTTTTTAATGTAGAGTCAGTATTATTTAGCCTAGGATCTTTTTTTTTTTTTTTTTTTTTTTTTTTTTTTTTTTTTTTTTTTTTTTTTTTTTAATGTATGTTTGTGATATGTACTACATTTGTTTTGAGAAACTGGCACACACACACACACAAATATCGTATGCTGACCATTTTTGTATCTGTTCCCCTATTCTTCCCCACCCCACTAGGACTTTTACATCCATATTTGAAGACATTGGCCTGTAATTTTCTCTTCCTGTAATACAGTGGCCCACTTTGTGAATGAAGGTTATATAAATTGAGAAGTACTTTCTATTTTTTATTTTCTGTAAGAATATATGTAAGATTTAGGATACACCCTCTTTAAATGATAGGAAAAGTTTGCCATTTTTATAAAAGCCATATGATTTAAAATGCTCTTTAAAGGAAAGTTTTAAATAAAAGGTTCAAGTTATTTTTAATGTTCATTCATATATTATGTTCTGTTAATATTTGCTTTCCAAGAAATTTTCCATTTCACCTGGGTTTTTTCCCCACATAAAAATCTCATAACATTGTTCATAAAACCTTAATTATGTATTCTAATTTTTATAGTAATGGTCCCCAATATTTCTGGTCTTTTTTTATACTTTATTAGTACATGTTTGCAATACATAATGATTATGGTGAAGAGTTATACAGGTACATGAGACATCTTAATTCTTTTTTCTCGCTTTTTTCATCCCTTATCCTCTCCTCCTTTCCTGATCTTTCCAACTCTTTGTCCCCCTCACATCTGTAAAAGCTGTATTTTCATCATCCCCCCTGTTTTCTTTTTTCCCCCAATCTTTTTCCCTCCCCTTCCTCTCTTATTCCCCAAAGAGCTTTTGCTTATGTAGGAGTATATCTGTTCGTATTTACTTTATTAAAAAATAAAATTAACAAATTAAAATTTATTAATTTACCTAAAATAATATCCTTAGTAAGTGATAATATCAGTAACATTTTCTATGAAAAATAAACTACATTTTCCAAAATAAAAAATTTTGTAAGAGTGATACTGATTTTCATTTTTATCAATTTCCTTTAATGCTGGCTTAGAAGAAAGCAAGGTTCTTATATCTACTTCTGCAATTAATATGATGTGCTACTTGAAATATGTAAAGACTATCTGACTTCACATAGATATGGAGCACAAAGACAGTTTTGAATATTCTTTGATACTACACCAGAACACAAGTGGTAGCTAGCTGTGACATGGAATATAAAATTTATCAATAGACTTTTGATATTCTGTTATGTTAATACCAATTGGTCTATATTGCATTTTGAATATATCTCCTTATCCATCTATGATTTTGGAACATTATATCTTCATTAGTCATTTAAAAAATGCTGATATACCTGGTTATGCAAAAGTTCACAATATTGACACTTTTCATAATATAATAATTAAAATACATCTTTTAGTGCTGCCTTTGATCTTAGAACTGTCTTTACTGGGAAACTGTCAATATTACTTAGTGACAAATACACATTTTCTAAAATTTCAACTTTTGCTTGAAAATTTAAATTTTACAATGAGCAACACACACCTGAAAGGCTTTGTTCATTCTCAAGAACATGCCTGTCAAGTACCCAAGTCTAAATAACCACTGTGTGGTCATCAGTCAGGTGTCCAGGTATCCCATAAAAAAGCTAGTTCCTCTCTTTATCTGGGACTCTAGTCATGCATGTTAGGATCTATTAGCCACATTTCACTATGCTTGTTCTGTATTGTCCATCCTTCTACCACTCTGAGTTTCATTCTGGCTATTTTCTAGTATACATCTTTCAGTTCACTAATCCTTTCTTCAGTGGGTTTGTTAGTTACTTTTCACTTGGTGCTTTTTAATAAAATTACAGTTCTTTGGTGAAATCCTTCATCTGATATTTTCTTGAACACATATTTAAAAGTCCATTTGTCTGATAATATCTGAATCTATTTTTATTCTTTTTAAAACTTTTTGTAAGTCAATCTTATTTCCTGGTATGTCTAGTAAGTTTTGAATTAATACTAGATGTATTTCATGAGAAAAATGTACTGAAAATTTGTGGCTCTGGAAGATGCCATCTTCCTTCAGAAAGAATATTCCTTCCTCAAGCTGGTAGGCCTAGAAAGAGGTTTTTTACTTGACTAGAATCACTTAGAAGGCTTGTGACAAACAGCTGGGTGCCATACTCTCAGTTCTCCTTCTATAGGTTTGGGGTGGGCATCTAAGAATCTGCATTTCTAATCAGATCTCAGCTGATGCTGTTGATCTGGGGAACATAATTTCAGAACTTTATGGCAAATACCCTAATCCACTTTAAGACTATGCCTATTAGAAGATAAGCTTCCATCCTTACAGGGTTGGTCTATTTCTGGTAAACCCATGGGGTTAGTCTTATAGTGGTCCCAGATGAGTCTGGTATGCCCACTGGGGCCCCTCTTTCTAAATTCTAACTTTTGTTTCCACAGCACCATGAGGTGAAACTGAAAATCTTGTCCAGTTTCTAAGCCTCAAAGCCACTGCTTCACTGACCTCAAGGGGAAACACAGCCAAATATAGGGAACACCCTTTATTGATCTGCTTCTCTACAGGAACTTGATCCTTCACATCTTCAGTTAAAAATTCAGCAGTACCTTCAAGGATTTTTTTCCCTCCTTAATCTTACCCAGTTTTTCTAGGTGTTCTAAGTTACAGAGTTTGCCTAAAATAAAATATGCATAATTTTTATTTTATGCCTCAATTGGGCAGTGTTATTTTTTCCCTCAATGTAGATTAAGAAGTTGGAATCCTGGTATCTGAATATACTATGAGTTTGGTAGAATCAAGTCTTATCTTAATATACTGTTTTCCTCTAAGCAAACTCAAAAAAGTCCCAAAACTTGCAAAATGATAGTCCAGATATTAGAATAGCTAATCAGACTGAGGACTAAGTCTCCAAGAAGTTCTGCCTGGGTTACCAGTCAATTACACA